GTTCTAGGTTGCTTCTCTCTTTGGTTAGTTTCCACCCGTTGCTTCTTGTCCTGCCTTCAGGCACTTTGGAAAATAGCTTGACTCCCTCTTCTTTGTGGCAGCCCCTGAGATATTGGAACACTGCTATCATGTCCCCCCTCGTCCTTCTCTTCGTTAAACTAGACATACCCAATTCCAGCAACCGTTCCTTATATGTTTTCGCCTCCAGTCCCCTAATCATCTTTGTTGCTCTTCTCTGTACTCTTTCATAGACCCAGTTAGCCAGCATGAGCAAGTACCACATGCTCATGTGATAAAATAAATTTATTTTGATACCCTGCCCACATCATTTATTCATATAATACCATACAATACCAGAGGTGAGAGACTGGGAGCGGAAGAGCAGAGAATGGTCCCAGTTCATAAGACTGAATATAGATCTAAGAGGATAAGTTATTGTGGGCTGGATCAGTGGATAAATCAGTCTGAAGCAGGAGATTCTGTTATATCAGATTGAACTGTGTTTTATAATTCCACCATCTAAAACAAATTGCTATATAAATCTATGTTTTCAATTTAAGCAATTGATTGACCTAGTCTGGCACAATACAAATTGTTTATGTGATGCATTTTTTTTAAAAAAAAGGGAAAGCATTTATTACACATCCTTCCTAAGTTTCATATCTGATCAGTTATGGAAAGCTTTACAAATTCAAACTGTGTAAATAAGATATTCAACTGTAAGCTGTACTACTTTGCACTGCCAGTGTAACACTTTTTTTCTCACCTTAAATGTGGCTTATAAAAACATTTGTGTAAAGTTGAATTTATATAAATCAGGTCTCCTACAACCTGGGAAACCTCTATATTTATTAAATACAGGGCTTTTTTTTGTCATAAAATGCCCAGAACGGAGTTCTGGCACCTTTTTTGGATGGAACCTTGTAGGGTAGGCAAGGCAAGTTGTATGAAATGTGTGAGTTCCTGCACCTTTTTTTTTTTAAAGCATGATTAAATAAATGTATGTTTTGGTGTCAACACCATTGATTTCCAGAAAACAATAAATCTTTTGAGATGAATATTTGTCTATTTTATTTATCTGTATATTGTATCATTTATAAATTTTCTTTCAACATTTTGAGTTTTACTTTCCTATTTTTTTTTCAGCAGTGCTGTGACTTAGGATATCATGCCAGCCTTGGTAGGGCACTTAGAACATTCCTATCAGCAGAGCTGAATCTAGAACAATCAAAGCACGAAGGCCTGGATGCCATTGAGAATGCCGTTGAAAATCTGGATGCCAACAGTGACAAGCAGCGTCTGATGGAAATGTGTAACAGTGTCTTCTGCCCACCCATGAAGTTTGAGTTTCAGCCCCACATGGGTGACATGGTTAGTTTTTTTCCCATTTTCTGTTTTCATTGCAAACTTCACTCCAGACATAATTAAAAAGTCTGTATAAGAAACAGAAAAAACTATAATCATGATTGGCCAAGGATTCTACAGCAATATGAACAATCCTTAAGTACTGAATGCATGCTATAAGTCCAATTAACCTAGCTGTGCTCATTGTGATGCAGTGCTCTTCCAGTTTCCAAACAAACACCTATTCCATATTCACTGGGGACATTTCCGTATATATACAGGTAGCCCTTGGTTAACAACAGTAATTGGGACCAAACTTTCTGTCACTAAGCGGTGTAGTCATAAAGCGCAATGTCACCTGACTGCATTGTTTCTGCAATGGCAAGTCCCCATTGCCACAATTAACTGAATCCCACTGATCATTAGGCAAGGAATGAACCAAGGTCATTCCTGGTTTGGTCCATTCTAGCCACAAACCTCTGTAAGGGAAGGGACTCCCTTTTCTTGAACTCTCCCCACACACTTATCTCCCCTCCGTCCACTCCCCTTTTGGTTTACTCCAGTGTGTGAGCCTAACCATTGTATAAGGTAAACTGTGGTGTATGACTAGTTGTGAACATCCAGGCAATTGTTTATTGAATTTGAATTAAAAATAATTTGTTTCCTGGTTTGTTTAGCAATCCTTTGTTCTATGGCCCAGTGTAGATATCTCATACCTGATTATAAGTTTTAACAAAAGTGAAAAACTAGAAGCAAGTATCTGAAAAGTTGAAAAACAGCCTATTCTTTTCTAGGTATTCCAGCTTTGTGCCCAGCAACCAGTGCAGAGTGAGTTGGTACAAAGATGTCAGCAGCTGCAATCTAGGCTATCCACTCTGAAGATTGAAAACGAAGAGGTAGGAACCGAAACTCCACATCGCTGATAAGAATTTCCCTCTTTTCATTGATACATCTCCATATTCCTTTTTTCCCCATGACATTTAGCCTAAAGCCTGACAGGATGTATTTAGTACCCATTCTGGGTTGGATATCAGTGGACCAACATCCACATTGGTGGGCAGGGAAAGATCTTCCAGTGTTAGAGAGGACTATATGAAGTTAGAGTAGATGTAGTTTAGCTATGAGGTCCTTGCCCACCTAAACATCTAAAACAGGTATGTCCAACCTGTGGCCAACAGGCCACATGTGGCCCTGGATAGCTAATCATGCAGTCCCACAAGATCTCAAAATTATAATATTATTATGTGATTTATATACATTAACTATATTAAATATTTTATATGCAGCCCAAGAAATTTCCTCTTCAATCAATACAGCTCAGGCAAGCCAAAAGGTTGACACCAGGACCTAGAACATCTAAATCACATATAAAAAATGCTTTAATACCACCTTACTTTTTTAAAACAAGCAACACCAACTAGCAGTCAAAGGTCATCATGAAAAGTCCTTAATTATACAGCACATGGATAGACACAGCCATAGTTTCAGATGTGAAACTGTGAGCATCCTAGACCAAGTTAAGTCCAAATACACTAGAAGCCTGGTACTCAGACAAATCAGCCATCAACAGGCACACAGAGACAAACAACATCAACATACATTCAAAAGAGAAAATTAAAAAGCTGAAAGATCATAACATCTACTTGCCCACAATCAATACCCAGATAAGCAGACATTAATATCAAGAGTAATACTAAACCAACAATTAAACAACCTGTTTAATTCAATCTTTCTTGTCTTCTGTGGGCAGTGAAGTCAGGCACAAGTGACTGGAAGCAGGAGATTGCCGGTGCTTCTTTGGGGTTAGGCACATGTCACCTGCCCTAAAGATGGTGTATTGAAATTCCACTTAAAAAGGAGTTGCTCTAGATCTAGAAATCATGTCCTAGAAATAGGACATGATCCCTCTCATGGTATATCAGGTACATAATTAGATTTGTTCTTTCTCAGCATCTCTACAAAAGGTCTTTATATTGAAACAGTATCTAATATATGATTAGTTATGCTTCAGCCTCACTTTTTATTTTTTTTCCTTCATTTTCTATGCCAGGTTAAAAAAACAATGGAAGCCACACTACAGACTATTCAAGATATTGTCACTATTGAAGATTTTGATGTATCCGATTGCTTCCAGTATAGCAATTCTATGGAGTCTGTAAAATCCACAGTTTCTGAAACCTTCATGAGTAAGCCAAGCATTGCCAAGAGACGGGCCAATCAACAGGAGACTGAACAGTTCTACTTCACAGTAAGAGCCCTGAATTTTCATCATCTTTCATGTGTTAAAGCAGTAATATTTTAGAGATGGAATATATTCAAAGTTCAGTCAAATGAATTTGGCTGGTGAGAAAAAAAATCTACAGCTGGTAATACTGAATTTTCCAATTTTGCTGAAATCAATATTATTTTTAAATATATTCAAAGATTATTTTGATACATATTTTCTTAAAACTTTACTAAAAACTGGTAAAATTCCATGCCTAATTTAGATAGTACAACAGAGCAAATGAAAGCAATCATCAGCAGACTTCTAGAAAAAAAAATGCACATGCAGCTGAGTATAATGGAAACATTTCTTCTTAATTCTGTACTTAAAGTTCTGAATGACTGGATGTTTACTAAAGAAAATGTGTGTCTATTTATCGTATTCCACTGGAATTGTCTACATTCAAAGACAGGGTAGAGTTCCGCAAGCGCAAAACTCAAAACCTGCAGGGGAGTCTGTGCTGGGCCCATCTTCTAAGACAACTTGGATTGAGGCAGCCAAATATTAACTAAATCCAGTGCTTTTTTTGTTAAAAAAAAAAAAAAAGGTGCTGGAACTCACACACGTCATACAACCTGCCTTGCTACCCTACAAGGTTCCATCCAAAAAAGGTGCCGGAACTCCGTTCTGGGCGTTCTATGAGGAAATAAAGCCCTGACTAAATCCCTGAGAATGCTCACGTCTCAAGATTCAGAGAGAGGCAGAAGTGCTCTGTCCCTAGGAAAGGATCCTTGGAAATAATTGATCAATTTACAACCATCTTTTAAGGAGCAGCTGATGTTGGGTTGAAACTCTGAAGATAACATTAGGAAAACCTTCATTTGAGAACAGAGTGTGATTAGAATACTGTCAGTATCAATCTTGTCATTCTGCTTATTCATTCCGGATACACAGCTTCTAATCCTTGATATGTTTCATTTCTTGTATACATTTCAACCAGTCAGCAAGACAGAAACTGACACTCCCTCAGTTGTTGCCTCTGTGATGTGGCCTGTGGCCTATTATTTGGACTTGCTTCATCTCCCTTCTTAATTTCCCCCCAAACAGCCAACTGGTGGAATGTGGCCCCATGTGAATTGGCACATATGTAAAGAAGCTTTGCTTCATTGCTTTGTGGCTGCATGTTTTAAATTGCTATGGTCCTCTTATAGGGATCATGGGACTTTTAAAAAGTGCTGCCTACTCTGCAAATTACTTAAGTAGATAAAGTGGTTTATCCTGGATTTGGTTTAGTAATAGATTTATCAGAGAGTATATCATTCTTTTAGATAAGAAATAAAAATACTTCAAAAGCCTTATTAAATTAAAAGGTTTGAACGGAAGATGAATGTAACACAAAAAAAAGGATTGATTCAATTAACAAGCAGTTGAGGTCTCCTGAGTGTCAATGGTTATTAAATGAGCTTCCATGTTGTTGTTTTTAGGAAAAACTCAATCCTTTTCAAATAAATATGAATTTATCAGTGCATTTTTTTTCTTCACATTGTATAACTATTCTTGCTCTCAACCAGTGGCAGTGACATTAACCTTCTGCCTCTAGGAAATGGATATGCCATTAATCATGTCATATTCATATATCCAGGATAAATAAACTTCCATATGATCTTCCAGCTTACAGGTACCCTTAATATGAATTTCAGGCTTTAGTTAAAAGTATCATATGATTTATACAACCTGAAAATAGTTGTGACTGAGCATTAATGGTGGGAGAAAATAAATGCAAGGAAACAAGAACATGAACTATTACATTACTGTGTATTTTAATATGATACACTTTTGTGAGCAAGGTAAAAGACAGTCTACCTAGGTTTGCAGTGTTCCTGGGGGATTTTATGTTAGGTCTGAAGAAGAAAGGTATTACATTATACAAGCCTGTTCTGTCAGCTCATCGGATTAGCTGATCTGGCCCATTATCAATTTTTCTATGCTTTGGGGAATCTGTCAGAATTAGAGGGCTTAGAATGCTTTTAGTATTTCAAAATGTCGTTTGAAGCTCAGAATCATCTTTATTGAATGACAGATCATGAGCAAACAGGACCCCTTGGGGCAATAGATCTTTTAGGATGATTCACCCCAAAGCTTAATGGATCCTGAGGTTTTCTAGAGGGCACTTTGGGTATTGCCCAATGACTATGGAGGCAACCAGTGATCTTTTTCTTACAGGCTACTTTCTACTCAAGAATACCAACTGGGTCATTAGTCCTCCAAGGAAATGCAAGAAATGAAGTAAAATTATAGCGAGATAGGTGGCAAACAAATTTAATAATTTTTATATTAATAAATAAAATACAATATTGAAAACTATAAACAAACACAACCAAGCACTGATATATGCTTGAGTTTCAGCTTACATAATGGTAATAAAATATCAACACATGTATATTCTATGCTACTTTGGTTTCCTGTTGATTCCTGATGATTTGAGGACAGATGTGAAGACAAGACACCTGCAGAGCAGTTGTGATGCTTTTTCATGTTTCTTCACAGATAGTCACTAATATTTGCTCAGAATTAGATGTCATTTGATAGAACAATGCCAGGTAACAAGAGCAACATCTTCTAATATCAGCTAATATTCTTTTTAGCTCATAGAATCTGAAGAAATTAATAAAACCCTGTATAGTATAAACTTTGCAAGAGGCACGGTGGCTCAGCAGCTTAGAAATGCTGGATGTGTTGGCCAGAGAAGATTGGCTGTCTGCATTCCAGCAGTTCAAGCCCTAGCATCGTGTGATAGAGTGAGCTCCCTCACTCGCTTCAGCTTCTGCCAACCAAGCAGTGCCAGATCAACCTGAATGCGGTGCAAAAATGGTGGAGAAAAATCCCCAGATGACTCCAACACTTCCACAGAACATCATTAACTGCTTTGTGTGCAGAGCTAGTTTACCCATTGTGGTGCACCCTGGATAGCGCGTGAGCATGAGCTGAATGAACTAGCAATCTTAGCCAGCCAAACATCTACCGTGTAATAACATTATAGATTCCTAGCTTTCATAATGAATAGGCTAAATAAATAAGTATAAACTCTGGCCTGGAGCCATGTTCAGCCTAGCACTTTTTGAGTGGCTGAAGGGTACCTAGTTGGATTTGAGAAGTAACTGATTACTGTCTGAGAGGATGGAATGCCATCATTCTCGAAAGAGGTGCTGATATGCCCTCTGCTTAGCTGTCTCTGGGGCTTCCACCTAATATTCAGTTGCTCCTTTTTGGGAAGATTTGTTGAGGAATTTATGAGGAATTATATGTAGAGGAATACAGAAAGAATAAAAGTACCTGAGTCCTCTGAAACAGGATTGGTCACTCTGGTGGCTGAACTTCAGCAGGTTCTGGATTGGGAAAATATGTCTCTCCTATTCCTGTTAAACTCTCAGTAGCACTTAACACAATCATGATATTCTTTTGAATAACCCATCTGGGGTTAGAAGCAGATTTTATGGTGGGCCCACTTTTATCCAAATTCCAGTCTGTAGTCATGGGGGAAATACTTCATCGTGGAGAACTACAGGGCTCAGTTCTCTTTCTGGTGTTATTTAATATCTATATAAACTAAGCCTCTAAGAAAGGTAAGCTGTTGTTTTGGGATAAAGTATCATCAGTGTGTTCATGATACTCAGCTGTATATCATAACCCCCAGCCAGACCAGAGATGCTGTGAGGTTTTGAATTGGTGTCAGGAGTTCACAGGGAACAAAGAAAACTCAGACTAAATTCCTGCACTGTGGAGCTGCTATTCAGTTGTCTAATGTGTATAATACAAGTTTGTATCTGTGAGTGTCCATCATTGATAACCAAACGGAGGTTTATTTCTGAATTGCCCTTGTATCTTCACCCCTTGAAACATTGTTTTCAGTTGACATTCTGGATAGGATCGCTCTGCAATAAACTATATGGGAATGCCTTTGAAGATGCCTTGAGGGCTATGATTGGTGCAGAGTATGGCAGCTAAGATGGTTATCATATTATTTTTGATAATGTATTGTGCATATTGCCTAGAATTATTAGATTGAGGCATTATAAGCAAGTTTAATAAATAAACCAAAGTATAGCATCTGCCATCTTGGAAATACATATCTTCTTAATTTGGTTTGCATTAATGTTTCTAGTAATGAGTCTATATTGTGAATTCCAAGTTTAAGATATAATCCAAAACAGATGTACTTGCGACTTAGGTTTCTTTTTGAAGCCGGCAGGGTTTATTTCTAGATGTATGAGATTGGGATCTGTTTTAACATGCAGCTGCAGCAATATTTTCCAACGTGTGACTTAGATCTCCTCATGCAGTCAGCATCATATGTTGAATATTGATTATGAGGGAGATAGTTACAGTTACTGTTGGATAGTTACAGTTACTGTTGGATTTTAAGAGACCTTTTAAAAACTATTTTAATCATCTGAACTCTATAATGTTCAGATGTATTAACAGAAGTAAGCTTGCCAATTGAAGTAGCATAAAATATATATTTATAAATGAATCTGAAATGGCGGTTCTTTGAAACTGCATAATGTAAGCAACCTCAGCTTTTAAGTATAAGGGACAAAGAAGAGTATTTCTTTCTTTATACTTTAATAGTAGCTATTCAAGATGGCACCATATCACTTCCGACAAGAGAGGGAAAAAAGAAAAAAATGGATTTTTGGTGATATAAACTGTTTTAAATAGAGATATTATTTGGTCTTGTTTCTGTTGGGATATTGCTTCTGATTTTTATGTTTGAAATAGAAAAAAATGAAATTCAGAATTTAGTCTGAAGATTTAATGATTGTGTACTTATAGAACTGGCTTTTAATAATTATAGGTACTGTAAAAAATGAGGTCATAATTGTATTAGTATGGTATGTTGGAAAGAGTCAGAAGTCTACCCTTCTTTCCTTCTGTCCTTTATTCTTCATTCTGCATAGTCCCTTTATTTAATCTGCATTTTCATTGTATTTTATGCTATAATAAACCTTAATAAAAGTTTTTTTTAAAAAGCAGTATGCACC